GTCAGCCAGTCTGTGTCTTTTGATTAGGGAATTTAATCCTTTTACATTAAGAGTTGTTATTTAAAAGTGTTTATTTAATCCTAGCATTTTATTGATTTTTGTCTGGATGTCTTAGGTGTTTTTTGTTCCTTTCTTTCTGATTTACTGTTTGTTTTCTGTATTAGTTGGTTCCTTGGGTTGTAGATAGCCTTTTTGTTTGTTTGTTTTCTCTTCATGGATGCCATTTTTATTATACTAGTGGGTTTTGATTTTTCTTGGGTTTTTATGGCAGTGGTAGTTGTTTTTCAGGTACCAACCCAGTATTAGTGGAGTGGGAGACAAGGCTGGTGGCTATTTTGTGCTTATTATGTGCACAATGGCGCCAGTCACATCCAAGATCCATCAGTAGTGTCTTTGTTTTTTTAAAAATTTGGAATCTGTTTTCATGAAGTATGAGCTATAATGAGAAATTACATCCTTTTAATTAAAGAAAATATAAATTTTATTTCACTGAAAATTATGTTGCCATTATATGCTATTGTTTAAAGATAATGAAACTTGTTGAAAAATATTTTTATTGTTCAATTTTGGATTAACCAGATTTTTTTATTTTCTATCATTTAGGAGAAGTTATGTATACAAAGTCACCATAGTAAATTTATTTTTCTGTGATTATGTATATTATAAATTGATAAGCAGAAATTATAAAGTGTCATATTTCCAATAAACTGTTAACTTTCATTTCTTTTAAAAGGTTGTGTTTTGTTTTCCTTTTAGGCCCAGACCGTATCTGTTTAAAGGAGATCATAAATTTCCTACAAACAAAGAGAACTTACCAGTGGTTATCCTCTATGCAGAAATGGGTACTAGAGCATTTGGTTCATTTCACAAAGTATTGTCTGAAAAAGCTCAAAATGGGGAAATTCAGTATGTTCTTCGCCATTATATTCAGGTATATGCCTGATTTTTCCAAGATTACTTTGGCTCTAGAAAAATAATTGTTTTGATAATTTCCTTATTAGATTTACATAATAATTTTCACCATAATAGTTACTTAAGATCTTTTTTAACTTAACACATCAAACGTGAATTTTATGTGGAGAAATATATTGGGATTCCTTCTGTTCTGGGGGTGTCATATTTAATTATTTTCGTCATGTTCATATATCTGGCATAGATTTAAAACAAATGAAGAAACAAAAATGTGCTTCAATAATGTGTGTATAATATTTGCTAGGACTCACATACAATTATTTTTAGTAAAAATGTATCACAGTGAAGAAATCTGATTTACTTGATATACTGATAGTATATATTAGGTCAAAGTGCCAAGCATGGTATAGGAATACTCTTACCCCCATTTCTTTTGAGAGGTGACTGCTTTGTCACTCAGATTTCTCATCAAATGTGTTGTATTGTCCCTCACTTCCCTAGCTTCCCATTGCCATCACAGTATCACATTATTCTGTTTTAATAACTTCATAGCACTTATAACTGTATCTCAAATTTATTTCTTTAACACCTCCAACACATACACACATGCACACTAGAATTTAATGGTCATTAGAGCAAGGACTTTGATTTTTTATTTTTATATTTCTAACATGGAAAGGGTGTTTTAATTTCCATTTTCCACATTATTAATGATTTACATATTAATATTTAATAAAGCATTACAAATATACTTGTAAATTGCCTATTCATATCCTATGTCTATATTTATATTGGATTATTTTTCTCAGTGATTAAAAGGTGTTTTTTATATATTCTGAATACTCATCTTCCATAATTGTAAACATCTTCTTCTAGTATATTTCTGGTCTTGTATTTTAAAAAAATTGTTTATGGAAAAATTGTTTCACTGAGCACAAGTATTGTGATGTAGTGAAATTTGTCCAATTTTTTCTTAATGATTTCCTTCATGATGTCATAAAGACATTTCCTTATCTTTTCTTGTAAGAGTTAAAGTTCTGTTCTTTATGTTTTACTCTTTGATCTATCCAGAATTTATATGAATATGCTGTGGGGTAGAAATGTAATTGTTTTTTTCCATATGGAAAATCACTGGTCCCCACATCATTCTTTGAACAGTCATGTCTTTATTCCACTTTGTCATATACCAAGTTTTCATATAGGCACATATATGTTTTGGACTCTCAATTCACCTGGGAGTGTTACTGCTTAGTTGTATGGTAAGTCAATGTTTAACTTTATAATAAACTATACCAAATTGTATTTCAAAGTGGTTATACCATTTTACATTACCACCAGCCATAAAAGAGAGTTCTTTTGCTCTAAATCCTAACCATTTGTTAATATCAGTTTGGGGATTTTAGCCATTCTGATGGTTGTGCAGTGGTATCTCATTATGGTTTTACTTTGCATTTCCCTAATGACTAATGAAGTCAAGTGACTTCCTATGAGTTTATTTGCCACCTATATATTTTAGTGAACTATTTTTTTGAGTTTTAAGAGTTTTTTTTATATGTTCTGGATACAAGTCATTAATCAGATATGTGATTTGCAAATATAACAATCTGTGACTCATCATTCTCTTAACAATGTCTTTTGCAGAGCAAAAGTGTTTTGTAAACTCCAGTTCACCAATTCTTTAATGGATTATATTTTTGGAGTTGTATGTAAAAATTCATCACCAATCTCAAGATCATGCAGATTTTCTTCTAGGAATTTTATAGTTTTATATTTTACATTTAGGCTTATGATCCATTTTGCATTGATTTTTGTGTAAATTGTGAGTTATGTGTTAAGATTAATTTTTCTTCTCCATCGAATTTCCTTTATGCCCTTGTAAAATATAATTAACTCTATTTGTATGCATCTATTTCTGGCCTCTCTATTCTGTGTTGTTGATCTGTATGCCTATCCTCACATCAATACTACATGGCTTGATTACAATAGCTTTATAATGAGCCTTAAAATCAGGTCATGTGAGTCCTCCAGCTTTGTTATTCTTTTCCAGAATTTTTTTTTATTCTAGTTCCTTTGCCTTTTTATGTAAACCTTAGAATCAGCCTGTCTGTATCTACAAAAAATCCTGCTGGCATTTTGATTGAGATTACATTGAATATGTAAATCAAATTTGTGAGAATTAACATCTTAACGATATTGAGTCTTCTAGTTGATAAAAATTGTATATCTCTTGGTTTACTTAAATATCCTTTGATTTCTTTCATTAGTGTTTTTCTTCCTTTCCAATTTATATGCCATTTATTTCTTTTTCTTACTTTATTGTAATGATTAGGGCTTCTAGTTCAACGTTGAATGTGAGTAGAGAGAGGATATCTTTGCCTTTTCTTGATCTTGGGGGGGAAAGCATTTGATCTTTCACTATTAAGTATTATATTAGATGTAGGGTTTTTTTATTTTTGTTTTTTTTAACATGACCTTTATTAAGTTAAGGATATTCCCTTCTGTTTGTAATTTGCTGAGAGTTTTTATTATGAATATATGTCGAATGTTGTCAAATGCTTCTCTCTACTTATTGAGATAATCATGATTTTACTTGTTCAATCTGTTAATATGGTAAATTATACTGAATAATATTCAAATGTTGAAACAGCCTTGCAGTCCTTGGATGAATCTCATTTAGTTTTGATGTCTTATGCTTTTTATATATTACTGGGTCAATTTGCTCATATTTTATTTAGGGTTTTCACATTTGTGTTCCTGAGTGATATTGACTTCTAGTTTTATTTTCTTATGTTTATCTAGTATGAGTATTAAGTTGTTGCAGGCATCTAAGTAGCAACTGGAATGTGTTCCCTCTTCTGTTTCCTGGAACAGACTGTGTAAAATTTGTATTAGTTGTTCCTTAAATATTTGGTAGAAATGAAACTATATTGGCCTGGAGGTTTCTTCTTTGTAAAATTTTTAATTACAAATGTGATTTCTTTGGTAGATATGGGACAATTCAAGTTATCTATTTTGTATTCTTTGGTAGTTTGCTTTTTTCATGGATTTGATTCATTACACGTAAGTTGTCAAATTTATGGGTAGAAAATTGTTTATAGTATTTTCTTATTTTTGTTTAATGTTTGAGGGGAAAGTAGTAATGGTCCTCCCCAACACACACACACTTTTTTTACTTTTTATAACTGATAGTAATAATTTGTTCATCTCTTTTTTTCCTCACTCACCCGAGCTAGAGGTTTATCAATTTTCCTGATCTTTCACAACAAACAGCTTTGGTTTCATTGTGACTTTTTCCGTTGTTTTTCTGTTTTTAATGTTGTGCGTTTCTACTTTAATATTTATTATTTTTTTCCTTTGCCTTGCTTAGGGTTTAGTTTTCTCATCTCATCTATATCTAGTTTCGTCAGGTGGTACTTAGGTTGCTGAGTGTAGATCTTTTTTCTTTTCTAATATAAGTGTTGTTACATGTTTCCCTCTAAAAACTGCTTTAGTTGAATTCCACACATTTTTATATATTGTATTTTAACATTTATTTGAATCCAAATGTTTTAAATTTTCTTTGGAGACTTCCTCTTTGACCCACAGTTATCTAGAAGTGTTAATTTTTGAATATTTGGTGGTCTTCCAGACTTTTTAAAAAATGATTTCTAGTTTAATTTTGTTATGGTCCGAGATCATACTTTGTATGATTTTTTAAAATTTGCTAAGTTGTGTTTTATGACTTAGAATAAAATGTAGTTTTGTGAATGCTCTGTGTACACTTGAAAGGAATTCTGCTTTTATTGGGAAATGTTGTATAAATATTGATTAGGTCATGTTGGCTCATAGATCATCTGTATTATTGATTTTATGTCTGTTCTATCAGTTACAGAGAGAAAAATGTTGAAATCTCCGCCTATTAATGTAGATTTGCCTATTTTTTCTTTCTGTTCTGTCTTTATTTCTATTTTTTGTGGCTAGTCTGTACAGGAACAAAACCCTGATGTTATCAGCACCACACTTTAACCAACTGAGCTAATCACCCAGTCCCTATGTCTTATATATTTTGAAGTCCTGTTATTAATTCTTATACATTAACACTATATGTTCAGTTGTAGAATTCAATCCTGTATCATTATGTAATTTACCCTCTTTATCCCTGATAATGCTTCCTGTTCTAAAGTCTGTTTTGTCTGATATTATTATATCTATTCCTACTTTTTTTTGGTTAGTGTTTGCATGATATGTCTTTATCCATCTTTTTACTTTTAACCTGTCTATGTCTTTATATTTAAAGTGGGTTTTTTAGACAGCATATAGTTGGATCTTGCTTTTTTATTTTAACCGACAGTCTCTATTAACCAATGAGTTAATTTAAAGTAATTCTATATTGTGGTCTTAAAAATCTACCACTTTGCTATCTAGTTCTGTTTGTTCCATTTTTGCTTTGTTTCTCTGTAGGAAATGTGTCTTTTTTCTGACTGTGTACGAGATTTTCTCTTTGTCTTTGATTTTAGGAATTTGAATATGAGATTCATAGGTATTTATCTTGTATGTGTGGTTGATTATCTCACAAATTTTGGAAAATTCTTGGCTAATATTTTTCCCTGCTTCCCTCTTCCCTCCCTCCCAACTTCCTCTCCATTTTCTTTCTTTTTCTGAGATTCTGATTATGTTTACATTAGAACAGTTGATTTTGTCCCATAGCTCCTGAGTATTCTGTTCTGGATTTTTTGTTTTGTTTTCCCACTAATTTTTTTTCTTTGAATTCAATTTGGATAATTTCTATTGACCTACCTTTAAGTTCATTGATTTTTTTTCCTTGGCTGTGTCAAATTTACTTCTGAATCTTTTGAAGGCATTCTTCATTCCTGTTACTGTGATTTTTATTTCTAACATTGCTATTTGTCTCTTATAGTTTCCATATATGTGTTGAGTTTGCCTCTCTGATCATGCGTGTTGTCTAGTTTTTCCATTAGAGCCTTAACATACTAATCATTGGATAGTTATTTTATATTCCCTACTGATAGTTCTGACACC